GATCCACTGGTATTTTCAGTCAAAGCTCTTGTTTATTTCCTTCAAAACACCAAGACAAATCTGTAACTTTTTTATTGGTTGGGTTGTCTGTTGACATTACCCCCACTGGGATGTAAACTCTGGGAGAGCAGGGGCTTGTCTTGTTCCTACCACCTTCAAGGGTGTGTGTGTGTGTGTGTGTGTGTGTGTGTGTGTGTGTGAACTGTGACGTGCATGTCGGATTTAGCGGAGGTGAAGTTTTTCCCAGTAAGTCAGACTTAAAAATACTCTCAATCCTTTGTTTCATGACACTCTCCTGTCTGACTGGCAAATTTCCAAACATTTGCAAGTAGAACAAAGGGGTGTCATTCAGAATGCAAGAAAGAACACGCTGAGTGTCATCACACTTCATATGCTGGAAGTGAGGAACTTACAAAGAGTGGAAGCTGTAACAAAAAATTCTCTAAATAGCATAATCTCCTCCAGTCCCATCCATGTTGATGCAAAAGTTGGGTATTCATCCTTTCTGATGACTGAATAATATTCCATTGTATATATGGACCACGTCTTCTTTATCCCTTCATCTGTTGAAGGGCATCTCAGCTCTTCCCACAGTTTGGCTATTGTGGCCATTGCTGCTATGAACACTGGGTTGCAGGTGCCCCTTCTTTTCACTCCATCTGTATCTCTGGGGTAAATACCCAGTAGTGCAATTGCAGGGTCATAGGGTAGCTCTATTTTTAATTTCTTGAGGAATCTCAGAACTGTTTTCCAGAGTGGGTGCAGCAGCTTGCATTCCCACCAACAGTGTAGGAGGGTTCCCCTTTCTCCACATATTCTCCAACACATGTTATTTACTGTCTTGTTAATTTAGGTCATTCTAATTGGTGTAAGGTGGTATCTCAATGTGGTTTTGATTTGAATTTAGGAGAAGGAAGGGAAAAATGAAGAGGGAGGGTTATCAGAGAGGGAGACCAGCTGTGAAATACTATGGCCTCCGAGAAACAAACTGAGGGTTTTGCGGGGGGGGGGGGGGGGGGTGAGCCCAGTGATGGGTATTAAGGAGGGCATGTGTTGCATGGAGCACTGGATGTTATATGCAAACAATGAATCATGGAACAGGACATCAAGAACTAATGACGTACTGTATGGTGACTAACATAACATAATAAAAAAATATAAAAAAATAAGCATCAGTTAAAAAAAAATAAAGTCAGTCATTTGAAAACACCAAAAAACAAAAAAAAAAAATTCTCTAAATATCCAGATCCAGTGAATTGTGTGGTTTGCATTAAAAACTTGAAATTTATTTCTTGTTTAAAATATTTTTAATACTTGAAATTATTATAGTAATTCTTTCTGAAGAACCTCAAGAACGAACCATGGATGCTTTTTCCTTTTTTCCTTTTTTTTTTTTTTTGACACCTTTTCCTTCTGACTTGAAAAATAAAAGTACTACTTTATAGTTTATCACCTTGAAGAAGTGATGAATATTTCAAAGCTATGTGGGATGGAATAGAGAAATTTTAGCAAAAAACGATTTACGAAGTTTTCAAAATGTAAACCTTGGTTTTAGACAAGATAATCTCTTTTCCCCTTTTCGCTCTCTCATGCACACACACACACACACACACACACCCTATTTTTTCCTTTTATTTATTTACTTTTAAAGATTTTATTTTTAAGTAATCTCCACACCCAATGTGGGGTTTGAATTTACATACCCCCTGAGATCAAGAGTCACACCCTCCACTAACTAAGCCAGCCAGGGTGCGGTGCCCTATCCTGGCAATTTTAAAGAATATTTTTTCCCTTACTTCATCAGGACAAAATTAATATTTACTACTAAGTACTGGGCAATATATCACTCAATTTAAATTCATGACTTTCAGAGAATAATTGCAACAAAATGAACCTCATTTCAGTTTCTAGTGAAGTGGGAGAAAGCATTACATGAGGTAATAGTCAAGAATTTCTTCAACTTGGGGCGCCTGGGTGGCTCAGTGGGTTAAGCCTCTGCCTTAGGCTCAGCTCATCCTCTCAGGATCCTGGGATCGAGTCCCACATCGGGCTCTCTGCTCAGTGGAGAGCCCGCTTCCTCCTCCTTTCTCTCTCTCTGCCTGCCTCTCTGCCTACTTGTGATCTCTGTCTGTCAAATAAATAAATAAAATCTTAAAAAAAAACAAAAGAATGTCTCCAACTTGATGCCTCTGATCCTTGAACTTTGAGTGCTTTTCAATGTCATCACAGTTCTATTGTCTCAACAAAAACCCAACTTGACTGTATATTTATTTAACATGGACTTCACAATAATATTCTCTGGAGTTCAGGACTATAGTCTATGACTCTGTATTGGTCCAACTGCTCTTGCACATGTGGAATACTTTTCTATGATTTTATAATCCCCTGAATTATAACACCATGAAGGAGATGCTTTGTGACCAAAACAGAGTGGTATCATTGATAAGGTGGAGAGGATTGGGACATCCATTGACCGATGGATGAGAGACTACTGATTTAATCAGAACTACAAATACTTAACACTTTAGTGAGCCAGCCATTGTATTGCACATTCTTAACTTTAATGTGGTTATAGATGGAGGGGACAATGTAATGGAAATTAACATGCCAATTTACTAGACTATAAGAAACCTTCTCCAGAGGCCAAGATTTCCAATGGTTTTGGTTCAGTACTGTATTCCCAGTGCTGAGGAAAGTTTGTGGGCATTTAATAAATATTTGCTATTTGAGTGATTATTTTATCAAACCATTCTTGTTAGAAGAAGAAATGAAAAACCCATCTGAAAGAGGTTAACCTTGAATGTATCTTTAAATTTCTTCCTTAGTTGAAATCCTTTACCGCACAGAGATCAATCACTACAGGCCCAACCAATCACTGCTCTTATTCAACTACCTTGAAAAGAAATTAGCTCTAATGCATGCAGACTGATCTTTTAGAAGGTTCCATTCCACAGGTGAATCATTAACAGGCCTCACTAAGGAGATCACTCTCATTTCATTACAGAAGACTGCTTGAACAATGGTTTTGCATTAGACCAAGGTGTCTGGTCAAATTTCTTTGGAATGGCAAAGGTCACTTTATTCAGGGACTTTCAAAAAGATTGTATTTTGCTACATCAATCCATTTTCCAGAGATTTATGAGTGTATGTATCTCATCAAAGGGTTAAGAAATATTTCTTGACTGTGTATATCAATACCATGTGGATTTGGGGGGCGTATTTATACTTTTGGTCTGTAGCGATACGTCATCAAGGTCATAAGAACAGAGTGAAATTCATCCCATGCTTTATGTGTTCAGGGGCCTGAAAAATTGGAAACAGTACCCATGCCTCCGGGAGCTCCAGGGGGCTCAGGAAGGGCAGGAGTCAGGGATGTCTGCCAGTCTGCTGGGTGGGTCAGCGAGGTGACAAATATACAAGATTGTTGGGAAAGATGTGATGTGCTCAGTTTTAGATGTGCATAATTCATTGAACCCAAGGACCGTCCAGGAGGTCATGCATTCAGCCCTCAGAAGCTACAGATTTTGGAGCCAACACCAAATAAAGCTATCTGAAGCTCTGGCCTTGAATGAGAGCTCTCAAAGGGAAAGCATGTGGAATGAGAAAATGGAAGGGTTTAAGATGGAATGTCTGGAAACACCATAATTTAGGGGGCTGGCAGCAGAAGAGGAGACGGCCAAGAAATAGAACAGGACAGAGGGAAGTCACTCAGACATCATGGAAAATAGGCAGCGCAATGGGCATTTCTACATGATACAGAGAGACTGTGCCAACGAGGGCTGGAAATGGCCCTTTAGGAAAATTAAAGGAAGAAATGCATAAAAATATCAACAGCCCAATTTCTGACTGGTGACATTTCAGGTGGCTTATCTTCCTCTCCCAACGTTGCTGCATTTTCTGCATTCTGTACAATAAATATCAGTTACGATATATTAAAAAATAAAATACTCTGGAAAGTCTAAAATATTTCATGAGAAAAAAAGGGCAGGTGATTATTAATTCACAAGTATCTGAGTGTCTGTGTGCTGGGTACCCTGTGACGGATAAAACAACAAAGAGGCTGGCTCTTGGTGATTTACAGAAAGAAATGACAGCTGATTAGACAAAAGGGAGGAGCAGAGAGCTGGCGGTGGTGGGGGCAGTTGCAGGAGATGAGGCTGGAAAAGTAGCTCGGTGCCAGGTCATAATGGATTTTATAGGTTTTGTTAAATAATATGGACTTGATGGGGCGCCTCTGGGGCTCAGTCGGTGAAGTCACTCCTGATTTCGGCTCAGGTCATGATCTCAGGGTTCCGAGATGGAGCCCTGTGTCCGACGGAACACTGGGTGTGGAGCCTGCCATAGATTCTCTCTCTCTGCCTGCCTCCTTTCTAGCACCCCCCGACACCTCGCTTGTGCTCTCTCTCTCTCCAAATAAATAAATATGTAATAAAAAATATGGACATTATTCTGAAGGTTACAGAGCGGTTTATGAGAAGCAGAGTTAGGGTTAGAATCATGCTTTATTTGACGTCAGTTTTCTACTGCATTGGACAGCAGCGTGGCTGCTAACCCGGAGGAGCCCAAGGGTTGGCGACATGGTTGGCAACAGCGTGGCTGCTAACCCGGAGGAGCCCATGGTTGGCGACAGCTGCCTTAACTGGTCACAGGGAGTGCAGTGGGGATGGAGAAGGGGCCAGGTCCACATGTACTAGCATCAACAGGTCAGTAGGGTGCTACCCATTGGATGTACGTTGGGGGAAAGAAGACATCACGAATGACTACTGGGTTTTTAACTTGTGTCCCTAGGTGGGTAAAGGGTGACAGCTGCCCTACAGACTTTGTCTATAAGGACTCTCAGTGCCTGGAGTGGTCAATGTTCTATGAAATAAGGAAGCAAGTGTCTGTGTCAGACAGTATTACAGGAGAGGGAAGAAGCAGCAATGTGCGTATGTGACACCTGTTTCCGAGATCACAGCCACGAAGCAGAATCCTAAACACTCAGCCGTCTCCTCATCACATATGCACACTGAGACTTTTATTTCTTCCAATCCACAGAATTCAATACTTCAGCGGCAAAGAGGGATGCTGGAGCTATGTTTTTAGAAGTGTTCACATGCAATAGCTACGGCCTCCCAGGAAGGGTCTTTCTTGGTGGCAGAGAGAAGTTGGGAGAAGGCTGGTTAAACTGCAGTTGAGGGAAGAAAGAGGTATAATTAGATGAGAATTGATACTGTTAAGTCAAAGGACCCCAAAGCGGTAGGTCTCAAATGAATTGTGCTGCTGTGAGCTCACACACCCTGAAGGGGACAGGTGCTGTAGTTGTATTCTTGGGTTCTATCACTTATCCCCGTTTCACAGCATTGAAAACCGAGGCCTTTGGTCGAGCAACTTGACGGAGCAGGCCCAGCTACTAAGTTAAAGGGGCCAAATCTCAATCTGGCTGAACGAACATTATCACAGTAGGAAGCCTCTCTCCTGGACCGGCCACGGTTAAGCCATCTGGATGTAAGATTAACTCACACCCTCGCGCACCTCCTCCTGCAGTAAAGGAACTTCTGTTGCACCGGCAATAACTCGGTCTCGCGTGTGCTGCTGCAGACCGACCAGGGGGACACCCATTTTTATCGCCCTCGCTCCCGAACAGAGCGCCAGGTGGTGCCAGAGATGGCGGCAGCCCTCCAAATGGTTACACCCTCAACTCCTGACGACGGTTCAGTTAAGGTTAAGGTCGCCGGTCCTCGGCGGGCCCAGTTCTTGCGTGACTATCGAAGTACTGCTGTCTTGTCAGTTCACTGTTCCTTTTATTCCTTGGAGGCGGGCATGTCACAGAGTGAATTGTCACCCCCCCTGAAAACAGCGGTGCTCAACACCACTCACACCTGCCCCACCAGCTGGAAGGCAAGCGCCCCCTTTGCTCCCCTCGCCGCCCTCCGCCTCCTCCCCCTACCTTCCTTCCTTCCCTCCCAACCTCCAGGTAACCCCGAGGGTGGCGGCTCGGGTACCTGCGTTCCTCTCCTACCAACGCTAGCTTCTGGCCTGAACCAAAGCAGGCGCCCGGGTCGCTCCCGGACCACCCCCTTCAACCCCCACCCCCACCCCTCCCACCCAGCCTCGATGGTGTGCGCGGCTAGTGGGTGCGTCCCAGTGTGCCAACAACAGACTCACGAGCAGCCGCTTGTTGCTCCTGTTGCCGCGACGTGGGGAAGTGAAAATGAAATTGACTTTTCCGAGAAATGATGAAAGCGGCGCGGCCCGCCAATGAGCGGCGGCGGCGAACTTCCGCACCTCCCGGCCTGGCCGCGCGCGCCCTCCCTCCGCCTCCACCTCCCGCTTGCACAAGCTCGAAACAAACACTGGGGAGGAAGGGCGGAGGGAGGAGGGCGGAGGGGGGAGGCGAGGGAGGGAGGGAGCCAGGCAGGGAGGAGGGCGGGGGGTGGGGGGATTTCCAGCCTCAGCTCTTCGCAGTTTCCTCTCCTTGTTTTGCTTTCGATCTGGACTGTTCTCAGGCAAGCCGGGGAGTAACTTTTAGTTTTGCTCCTGCGATTATTCAACTGACGGGCTTTCATTTCCATTTCACACACCCTAGCAACACTTAAACCTTGCGGAATTGTATTGGTAGTGTGAAAAAGCACACCGAGAGGTAACATTTTTCAAATAATAGTTGTGACTGTGCGTGTGTTTTTCTCGAGGGCATGTTTGTGAGGACTGGAGGGGATGTGTGTGTGTGTGTGTGTGTGTGCGCGCGCGCGCGCGTCCTGATGGTTTGACACTGTTTTGCAGGCGGAAAATGCTGGGGTTCATGAATATTAATACCAATTTTTGGAGGAACGGTCGGAGCTCTTATGGATCATCTGATTTTAGGGGAAGCAGGTTCTGCTGCTGTTGCTGCTGCTACTGGGGCTGCTGAGGCTGCAAGGAGGAGGAGGAGGAGGAGGTAGAGAGGGAGGAGGAGGAGGAGGAGGAGGAGGTTGGTGGAGGTTTAATTTCACTTTTGGATTTGCAGACGGGGAGAGGTGGCTCCATGGACACAGACCTGCTCTGTGTGATTCTGCGCCCCAGGTGTTGTGTGTGTGGGTGCAGGTCCGCCGGAGTCGGGCCTCCTTTTAAAACAAAATTGTCGTGTGCATGTGTCTGCGTGCGTGTGTGTTTACAGACGCGGTCGCCACCAGATCCGAAGGAGGGGAGCGCGTCCTTCTCGGTGTCCGGCGGCGGCGCCTCTTTCCGGGCAGCCCCAGCGAAAACAAGCAGGAGCCCGCCGTCCGCCCCGCCGCCTGCGCCCCGCGCCCCGGCCAGAAGAGGCGCCTGGCGCCGCGGCCAAAAGAAACTTGGTGGGGCGCCCCGCAGCGGTCCCAGGGCTCGCCCGCCCGCGGGACTGGGGGAGCGGCCGCGGGCGTCGGGTGCCAGCGGCCGGAGGCGGCGGGCGGGCTCCGAGCCGGTCTGGGCGCCGGGCCTGGCCGGCACGCCCGGCTTCCTGGGAGCTGGGCCGCTGCCGCCAGCGCCGCTCCGGAGGGACGCCGCGTCCTCCTTCCCGCCGGCCATCATCCGGCCTGGCCCGGGGGCTTTGTCACTGCACTTGTCCAGGCGCGCGGGGAGGGGCTCCGGCGGCGCGTCCCGGGAGGGCGCCGCGCGGAGGGGTCATCCGCCCCGGCCGCGGCCTAGCGCCGGGCGCCGCCGGGTACCCACAGGCGCCCCCGGGCCGGCCTGGCGCGCTGGGCCTGACCCGCCTCGGCTACGGAGCGGGCGAGGTGGGGGCGGGGAGCCTCCGGGGACCGAGCGGCGCCCTGCTGGCAGGCGTGGGGGCGGGCGTCCCCTGGGGGTCCAGGGGCGCGGGCAGCGGCGGGGTGGGGACGCGAGTGCCCGCCCCACGCCCTCCGACCCCGCTCTGGGCGCCGAGTGGCATTCGCCCGCCGGCCGAACGTGGTTGGTGCACAGCCGTGGCCGCCACTTCCTTTCCGCCTCGCCGGCCGGGCTCGCCCACCGAGCGCTGCCCGCCGCGGCCAATCGTGGCGCCCGCCCGCCTGCGGCAGCGCTCGATGCCCCGGCCTGGGGGCCGGCCCCCGAGAGGGGCTCGGGAAGCCGCTGCAAGTTCCAGGGGCCTCTGGGTGTAACTACGTCCCCTCGCCAGGACACGCCGGCATCTGTCTTTGGCCCCAGGTCTCGGTACGTTTGCCGCCCTACCCCCTTGCCCTGTTAGAGGGGGAGAAGGGAAGGAGGCTGGCAGCCCGAGCCGGGCGCAGAGACGGTGTTCCGGGCGCGCGCCCGGGTCCGGGGGTGTAGGCAGAAGCCTGGGGCATCAGCTGTACATGTGCCCCCTGGGACTGGCAGTCGGGGTGGCCACACACGAGCGGGGCGGCGTTCACTCGTATGCAACCCCTTAGTGGAGTGTTTGGAACTTGGGGACATTTTTTAGCCGCTCCGTCCCTCTTCAGCTTCCTCCCTCTGGTGCGGCCGGTGGGTAGGGCTCCCCGTCCTTGGTCACGGAATAAGAAAACGCAGAGTCTTTCTCCAGGAGGAAAACTGCTGGCGTTTGCCTTGTGTCACTGGCCTCTGTTGCTTCGACTCGGTCTGCTTTTGATGAATGGCTAGGGAGGGTGGAGGATAGTTACATTTCCTGTTGTGGATTTTCAGGAATCGCCAAGGCTGCTGTCAAGCCTGCCGTCATTTATTAGTTTTCAGACCGATTGCAAATGGCACTGGAACTTAGGAGCCTGCACTTTTTGGTGCTCGCTGGGCAGGTGCAGACAGAAGTCTGGTGACAGACTTGAGTTCGAAAGGTGGGTCGTCTTGATGTCAGGCAGTGCGCGCTCCCCGACCAGGACCTGGAAGGGATCCCTGTTTCACTTCGGGGTGCACACAGATTCAGAATTCTCTAATTTTCCCAACGCCATGTCCTTCCTTTTTTTTTTTTTTCTTTTTTTGGAGGGGGAAGGGGGTAGAAATAGAAACCTAAAAAATCCTAGAAAAATTTATCTTTTCTAAGGAAACTTCGGAGATGGAATATTTGGAAATTAAACGGGCATTTCTGCGGGGTAACCTTGGAACGTCTATTGATTGATGGATGGCAAAGTCCAGAATTTCCTAATTAGTGAATGATTATAATTTATAACGCAGCCTGTTGTGTAAGAAGTTAGATTTTGGCCTCTTGGATTCAGGAGTTCTGTTCTGTGATGATTTGTAATTGCTTCCTAATATTAAACACTTATATGCTTCATTCTCAGTGACTTGTCTTTTTTCTTTTGATCTTCACAAGTTGGAGATAATTTTGCATATTTCAGACTTACCTGTAAAAATGTCATGGTAATCAAGAGTTAGAGTTTGTAGTTAAATTGGAAGCAAATTATGGCAAAGAAATGGTTGTCCTAAGGTCCTAACAGCTCTATGAACCATGGCCTCACTTTTCTCTTCCTCTGCCTTCTGAGGTCCTTTATTGGGCAGATGTTGAATATAACCAAGTGAGTTCAGGCTGTGAACCTCACAAGGAGTAGTGGAACATTTGAGATATAGGATTTTTAACTTTTGGTGGGCACCCATTGCTTCATGTTTGCAGGGACACTGTCCTTTTATTCTTATGATTATCAAATATGAGCTCTGTTGTTTCTAGAACATTTTCTCTCAGTTTCCTTTTGATAGAGAGCAGAACTCTAAATGGGGTATCTGGGACATGGTTCTGTTTTGTGCTTTACACCAAAAAAGGGAGTAAAGCAGATGAAGGACCTTATTTATTCATTTGATAAGTATTCCTGGGATATTCAGTAAGCGCCAGACACAGTTCTAGGCTCTGCGGGTTCAGCTTGGAACAGGAGAAGAATTTCCTTACCCTCTGGGGAAATTCTATTGTAATTGGTGAGCTGATAATACACAACTGGTGATTACCTTTTGGGGTTAGTTCTGTGGAAGGTGATGATAATACTTAAATGCCTATCTGATAGGGTTGCTTTGGGGAACAGATGAGATACTGGGTATGAAAGAAGGTTATATAAGTTACAGCAATCTACAAATGTGTAAGGCATTAACTTTCAGAATTCTGTCATTATTTTTAATGTGGAAAAAGCCAGGAAATCAGGACTGAACAGTGACTTTCTCTTACAGACTGCAGCAAAAAGGATTAACTTCTTCTGAGAGTATATGGATAATGGCAAGGAATTAACACAGCATAGCTTTTTTATGTAAAGCCTCAAAGAACTTAATAGTGAAATATAATATTGTCAGTGAATTTTTTCCTGTCAGAAGAGAAGTTAGATGGTATCCATGGAGACCAAATGATATGGAAATAACAGTGATGCCAATGTATTTTTTTTTTCTCTCTCTCTCTCCATCTTCTCAGGCTCAAGGTGCTTTAGTGTGAATTTTCTTCACAGTTGCTTCAGACTCTCTAATTCACTATCTTTATTGTGGGTATGCCCCTAGCTGATTTTAGTATCTAGCTGTAACATCTTTTTTTTTTTTTTTTTAAGATTTTATTTATTTATTTGACAGATCACAAGCAGGCAGAGAGGCAGGCAGAGAGAGGGAGGAAGCAGGCTCCCTCCTGAGCTGAGAGCCCTATGCCCAGGACCCTGAGATCACGACCCCAGCCGAAGCAGAGGCTTTAACCCACTGAATCACTCAGGCGCTCCTAGCT